GTTCTTTAACATTATTGCATGCTCCTAATTTTTTCTTATTGCATATACATGTTGCTGCATTTGCTTTGTTTTACAGTTGTACAGTTTTGGAGAGACAGTTTCTATAGTGTTCTGGACAGATATGTGGAAGCCAGAAAGCTTTTTTGACAAGATCGAGAAGAACAGGCGGAGTGGAATGCACACCCTGTGCTTACTTGGTGAGCAGCTACCCGGGCTCCTTAATTACCAACGCAGCACTCAGAGGCAGCAGTGACAGGCACGGGATGCTGTCTGTGATTCAACATGTTCTCAGCTAACATGTATCTCTGAAAATAACACAAAAAACTGGAGTGTTAGTGCATGGGTCCTTAGAGTCAATTTGCCGTTGTTCATGCTACAGCAGCCAGGAATTTTGTAATTCCTTCTCAGAAAATCCCTACTGATGCCTTTGTAGAAGTCAAATAGGAGCAGAAGGTCCATTTTTGCTCTTAAGTTCACTAAGATTTTGAGCTAGATCTGGCTCAGCATCCCAAGCAGATTGCAGTGACTAGCAGCCATCTTTTGTTGACTTAATTAAGTCAACACACTTAAACTTTCTGGGGAGCTAAATCATACTTTTAACCACGTTTGTATTTTGTAAGGTGATATTCTTTTTCCTAAGTTATCTAAGGGTCTTTTGGCCAAAGGCAGTTGTCATGTGAGAAGCTTCAGTGCTTAAAAAATCCTTGCTATCATGGAGCTGAAATGGAACCCTGCTCCCACCCCATCACTGTCCCAGGCTCTCCCACGGTGCTCTCTGATCTTTATCCTACCCAACAGCCCTCAGCTGACAGCCACTTTATGAGAAACTCTACTATAAGTAACTCCTTCAGGATTATGCAACTCCCAGCATATAAAATATAAGGCACCTGCATTATTTGTATATATGGTTATATATCTCTCTGTATCGTAGTTTAGACACAGCTGGGATCATTCAGGGCTAAATAAATTAATATCTTAAGTAAAAATAAAGTCTGTGGTAATTGGAGGATCCTGAGCAGGAAACAATTTTAAATGTGTATGCATCACTGCACATCAGACTTTCCAATGCCTTGAAAGTTGTTTGTTTTCAAAATTGGCTAAAAATCAGAATTCTCGTAATTTGTTTTAAAGAAGGATGAGCTGACAAGTGCTTCAGACAAGGATTATTACAGCTACAGTATGTTGAAACAAAGTATTCTTTAGATATTTTGTATAATAATTTCTATGGTGTCCCTTTTAAATTTTTTTACATAGTAGCAAGAGAGTAAAAATTTGGAAACCATAAAATCGCATTATAAATCTCACATTTCAGGGATTATTGTGGTAGCTGCATCTCGTTACTTACAGCTGAAAACTACCCATTTCCAAACTAATCATTCCCTTGGTCATTTTGGTCTTTGTATTGTGTTTATCCAACTGACTGGATTACTGTATAAGCAAATGTGATGTTAAAAAGGTTAGTGCTGATAAACTTCCGAATTCAAAGTGACTTCATGGACATATATGCAATTTGGTAAACTGGGCACTTTCAGTCTTGCAGCTTTGCACTGTCACTTTGGTTTATAAGTTAATGATATAATTAAGCAATACTTTTTAAAAATCCAAGGTTAAAAATGTATCCAGCTTTCAAAATTATCAAAAATGATAATTTTTGGGGGACATTTGAATACAGGTAACATTTGAATTCCTCTTGGAGAAATTATGGTCAATTAGTTTCATAAAACTGCATCTGTGCAGAGTCTTACCTCCCTCACTCCTTCTATTTCAGTTTTGCACAAGCCTTTTTTTCCCCCATAACAGGAGATTGTTCTAAATTTTGATTGGGACAGGAAGGAAGTGCTAACGAAAGTCAGGTTCCTGCAGGCCAGTGATGTAATCACTGTCGGTCAGTCATACTCTTTTACCTTTGGTGACCACCAAGTGCTCATGATTTAGGAGTAGCCTCAATACCCTGGTATGCCCAAATGTGCTGGTATTTAGCTATCCCATGGTAAATATGCCTGCTATTTGTATACTTAGCTGTCTTTTTATTCAGCTATGTTGCTCTGAAATCTGTGAAACTTTCCCTGTCTTGGGTAAAATCGCACACATAACGTCACAATACTTTCTGATTAATTAACACATGTAACAGTACAATTTTTCCTGTAATAGATAAAATTTTGTTATAAATTTTATAGAAACCGTTAATTAAGTTTTTACTTACATAGAAAACTAAGTGGGCAGTTTGTGGGCAACCTGTGTTTTAATATCTGTTTTGTTCTACAGATATTAAAGTGAAGGAGCAGTCTCTGGAGAACCTCATGAAGTGAGTCACCATTTTGAAAATATACAGAAACACACAGTGCACTTACAAAGGTTTTTTTTGTACAAGGAACAAAGGTTCTTTGCCCATGGTCTAATACTGAACTTACCTGCCTTCTCCTCTTGTGCTCCTCAGTGGCTGCTGTCTTTTGTTTCTTACAAGGAGTGGAACTCTTTTGTTCACTGCAATAGGACCTGGCTTTATTTACAGTAACTGAATGGAGTTGCAGCAGGGCATAATCTTTTTTGTAACTGTTGCTGTGAGAAGCACTAGGTCAGAATGGGGTAGGCTTTCTGCTTGGTGAATGAAGTGTTATTCCTCTACTGTCACCTCCTGAAACAGATTAATATCTGAAACAGTGTTCTAAATTTATTCTTCTGTACACTGGCTAGAAACAGTGTGAAACACAGAATATGTACCAACCTTTTTAAACAGTTAAATAAGCAATATATAGAAAATGCTCTTAAGTTCGCTTAACTGTATTCAAAAAGCTCTTACCACATCTTATTCATCTCTCTGCAATCTGTGTGTTTTGACAGTGGTGAATATAAACGGTTCCTTTATACACATGCTGTAACTGGTCTAAATTAACGTTTATGAAGTCTCACAGTATCATTGAGGTTTGTTTATTCTGGAGTTCAAAATAAAATCTGTTTGACTGAGTCCACAGTTGGCAAGGAAAGCAGCATTTCATTTAAGAATATATTTCTAGTCTGTAATCATCTGTCTGCAGGGCATTTGACAGAAAAACAGTCGTTTGCCCTTGAATTTAAGCCTAATGCATCTTTTGGGAGTAGCTGCAAAACCTGCGTATTGCTTCTAGCAGCTGAATTTGCTTTTAGGACTCAAATGATGTGCCAGCTGGAGGCCCAGCTGCTTCACAGGTGTGGCGAGAGCACAACAGACTTCTGTCTCACTTAAAAACTCCACTCTTGTCTAAAAGGCCCAGCCTGAGAGCCTGGGCCTGTTTATGTTCAATTTGCTGTCTAGAGGCCTCTTGAAATAAGTTGCAAGAATGCTGGGGATAATGAAATGTGTTATATGTGAAATTTCTCTACTTTCCCTTCACGGCAGAGGAAGAAAGATTTATGAGCCACCGCGCTACATGAGTGTGAATCAAGCTGCAGAGCAGCTTCTTGCCATTATTCAAAACAGGAGGCTCCAAGGAGAAAAAACAGGTATATGACTGCAATGGTTTTGTCTGCTACTACCCCTCTCCAGTCACACCCCTCGATGAGTTTCTGGGCTCCACTCCCTTCCTCTTACTCTTGGCATTCTCTTGCTCTGGAATGGATTTAGGCTGCTTTAAATCTTAGTCAAGATGGATTTAGCTGAGCTTGAACACGGCACAGCTTGGTGAGCACAGATGAAGGTGCAAAAGTGGCTCCTGGAGGTTTAGTCAAAGCCTCAGTTTGGAAACCACAGACTGTTTCTATCCCTCTGGAACTATGAGCTCTTTGATCCATTCGCGTTGCACGAGGTGGAAGGATTTGGAGCATTTTTGATCAGTCAAGCTTCAAAAAAATCTCTGCTACCTTTTACTTAGACTGGTCATGCTCTGCTCTACATGAATACCAGCATAAATCTAGGGTAATCTAAGGATGCAGAACTGTGATTTTGACCTTGAATTCTTAACAGTAGTCAAGAGCAAACTGTGAAACATGTTTATTGAAACCAAGGGTAAACTCACAGCAGCTATAAAGATGACTCAGTTGTGTCACATAAAATTTTTTCTAATAAAAATTCACCTAGCTCTATTCCTCTTTTTAGAAGTTTATTCCTTCAATAGTGTTAAAATGAAAATCTTTTCCTTTTATCCCTTATATAGAATAATCAGAAGCAGCCATTTCCCAAAAGTGAATACAGTTCGTGAAAGAATTACATATTCTGCTTCTGCTGCCTTCCCATTCCTCCTTATCAACATCTTTAAGATACAGCTTTATTTTCTTTGAAGAATAATCTTCTTTCTGAGCCACTCCAATAATTTAATAATGGAAGGTTTAAGAAAGCAGTGTTAAGGTTTAAGCACTTTGAGTACTTTTTTCCTTTATGATGGGATCATTAGTCAATAAATTAAGCATTTAATCTTCTTTCTTACAGAAACTACTGAAAACACAGTTTGTGTTGGCCTTGCTCGTGTGGGTGCTCCAGATGAGAAGATTGCAGCAGGCACACTACAGCAGATGTCCAGCGTGGAATTGGGTGGTCCACTACATTCTTTAATTGTTACAGGCACTATGCATCCTCTGGAATTAGAGATGCTTAAGCTCTTCTCTGTAGATAGTTCCAGTTTTGAAAATAATGCATGTCAAAGGACCACTTAAATAAAAATAAGGCATTTACATTTTTATTCCGTCTTTAATTTCCTAACAGCATAAAGCTATTCCTGTGAATATTTAAGACTTACCTAACGGCAGTTACACTGCATATTGCTTCAGAAGACAGCACTGTAGGAACATGGACCTGCTTTCACCCGAGGCTGCAAGTATATGCTTCTACCATGTAGACCCTCCAGAAAGTTTTAAACACATCAGCATCACTTGTGATCAAGGGGACATCACTTCTGCTGTAGTCCATTAAGCCTACTGCCATACAGTGTTGTAAGTGCATCAGATGTTAAATTTCGCTTTTCAACTTCCCAGAAACTTAGTAGTCCTCTCACCAATAGAAACCATTAGCATGCAAAACCTGTTAGGTCTGTGTCCATCTTTACTTTGGGAGAGTGAATACAGACAAGTGAGAATGCTCTAAACCGAGAAAAACAAGAACTTACCCTTTGATCAGCTGGTGAAACAGATGGAGAAGCTGCACAGAATTTCTTATTTCAGAAGGCTGCAACTTAAAATAGAACTGGATTTCTTCATGTTAATGCTAGCATTCACAAAGGGCTGGACTCTTAACTGCAACAACCACAATTAACCTTAAGCCAAGTCTCAGCAGACTGCAAGAATTCTCTTTAAAATCAGCTGGTGGATGATGGTGGTCACTATTTCAACTAGTCTTCACGGTAAGATGAGAACAAAGCAGACCTGTATGCATTTTTTTTTTTAAACTGAAGATTTATTGGAAAGAAATTTGATCCCATATCTCGTCAGCAATATAGGATATTTAACATTTTATATAGACTGTATTCAAGTAGAAAAGATTACATTAAAAATTTTTTAATATTGCACTTGGGACAAGTCATGGCTAAGCTACTAACATTAGCATTCCAGAACAAATCATACAGAGTCTTCAGAATTTTAGTGAGCTGCCTTATGATTTCTTCACAGGTACTTTGACACACTGTGCTATTCAACTTTAGCTCACTGCTAAGAGTAATTCCTGTAATTTAAAGGTAAAGGTAAGCAATATGCTATCTGCTACCAGGAATGATTTTGGCAATTGCTTCATTCACATTATTTCACACTTCAGCCAAAATACTGTAGCCATTCACTTAACTCTTGTACAAGATCCCAGCATACACGTGAGAGACTCCAATGCACATGGGAAGTGAAATACCCACCTCCTTTTACTTATTATTTCCGCCAAATTACCACAGAGGCAGGAACTTTTTGTGGCTCACTGAAACAGAGAAGCAGATTAAGCAGTGTGTGCACACAGCAAGACAGTCTTCACATGCCAGGCACAGCAAAGCATGACTGGCATCTTCACATTATAGCAGTGTCTGGCCAATGGAGTCCCAACAGGAATGGTCACTGCAACAAAGCCTGAATGGGGGACAAATCCAAAAGGGAGTAGAAGTGTAAAGGAGGAATTAACTACTGAGTCAGTATTAGGGATCAGACAGATTATTAAAAAAGAGAAAAAAGAAAATCCTGCTTAAAGGGGTGAATAATCAAGAATCATAGCAAGTGGCAGTCTGATGGCTTCTGGAAGAAACAGGACAGGGCTTAATTATTAAATAAAACTGTTGCTCTGAACTGGTATTTAAAGACCTTGTTTCATGAAGAGAGAGAAGAGTTTGCATTTTACAGAAGCATGCAACTGAAAATTTGCACTGTGCAACTGCAACTGAAATCTGCACTAAGAGAAACGCCATAGACTTTACAATCTGAATGCAGAGTGTGTGCAAAGGGTGGAAAACTGCAGGTCAGCAGCAGCTTCTCTCCCCTCTTGAATCTTCTCTGAATTCCCAAAACAGGTTCACTTACAACAGTTAAAAAGAGATACCCTTACTTTCCTTCACCTTTAAAGCCAGTTTTACTTAAAAAATTAAGAATGTTAAGAGTCACTAATGTCCATTTTATTAGTAGCAGCAGCTTCAATTTTTATGTAAAAATAGAGTAAGCAGCTCTTACTAATGATGCAACTAAACTTTTGTTTTAGTAAGCAGTATTACATAAAAACCAGAGTCATTTATTTGCTTCTTGCACTTTTTGCCTTAGTTTAGCAAATCACACAAGTAACTCAGCTCTCTGTAGGGGCCCAGCTCATCTAAGGAGCCAGTCTTGTACATATCTGTAGACTTACCGGATTAGCCTATAAAGGACCAGTCTTCACTGTGCATATTCATAAGAGTAGTTTTCTTCCACTGTTATTTACCATAAAAAACACTGGGGCATTTTCATACAGACACTCTGCAGCATTTGTCTTCTTATTTTGCTGTAGGCGCTAAAAATCGTGCAGTTTGCAGGCTTGGTCTTTGGGACAACAGGGTTGTAAGTTACTGGTTTCAGTCACAGAAAAAAACAAACCACAAAGACAGACTACGTTTAACCCCATAGTAAGCTCAGCTACATGAAAACATGAGAAAACCATAAATTGAAAACTTCATTCAAAATTCAGTAGTGAATACCAGAAAGCTGAGTTTTAGCAGATGATCTGCGGACGTTCATCCATCTCTGGATGTCAGCCACTCACACAAAGCTTTGTTTAAATGATGCCATGCATCTCCAATAAAGTGTCAAAAGCAAAGTGTTACATAAGCAGCCAAGTGTTAGGTAATTAGCAAAACACAAAGTAATGGTCCTTTGGCTCTCAGGGTAAGAAAAGCTGCACTGTCATTTGCGTGATTTGTACTCTCCTAAAACCTGAGCAAGTATCCCCTCAGTAAGTGAAAAAAATAAATCTGATGTCACTTGGTTTACTGACATACTAGATATGACTGTAGTTACCTACTGAACATGTCATATACTGTCTTCTGTAACATTTTGTGATGCTTATCCTTTTTCAGAAAGCCTAAAAAGGCTTAAAGTCTATTTTAAATCTGGCTTCCCTACACTATCCCCAATAATATTTGACAAACAAATGATACATTTCTTACTATAAAACACCAAGTTTAAAAATAACGAAGTGCTATCTTAGTTAGAAAACTCAGACTTGTACATATCCTTCCAACAATCTGATATATCATAATAAGCAAAACAAATAAAAAAAGTAATTAAAATTGTTTTTATAATTATAACTGGCTTATAGGCTTTTTCACTCCATTTGCCATATTTAAAAAGTCTGTAGATGTACATTTAAAAAAATACCAGCATCAAAAAAATCCAACTGCCACTTGGCCAGATTGTCACTTGGGAACAAATAGTAGCAGTTGTCTTTTCATTAAGAAAACTAAAGTAGTGGCCAAGCTCAGTGACTAGGGCAGCACTACAGTATTTTATCAAGTCCAGGAATACCCAGTCCCAAAACATGCTGGTATAAAAATTTAAACCAAAGCCTGCTCTTGGATCATGACACAATGGCATTGAAGTTGGCTGGTGCTTGCCTTTAAAGTAGTATCAGTTGATCTTCTCTAGCCTCAAATAGCAGTACCACTAACTACTGAAAAATGAGGAAGTCATGCTGTCAGCCAACAAGCAGCAGTCTATATGCAACACACTACAAAACAGTAACTCCACCCTATAATCACAACCAGATTTTAATCACCTTTTCTGTGAACATACATGCACATGGTATCTTAAACTGCAATGCTCAAATCTGCTCAACAGATTGTTGCACCCACCCTGTGCTGTGCAACTCCCAGATCCCATCTTTCAGTCAGGAAAGTCTGGGCCAGGCAGGGGATCTGCAAGGTGGGATGGGGAGAGAGCCTGACAGAGCGCCAGGCAGGAGGCCAGAAGAGAGATGTGGAGCGGTGCAGCCAGATGAGAGGGCACTCTGCACCCACATCCCCAGGAGCAGCCAACAGGATGAGAAACCAGCAACAGGGATAAAGAAGATCTGAAGGCTGGAAGAGACTATAAAGCTTAAAAGCAGTAATATATGTGGCTTTGTACTGCTATTTTTCTTTGCATCCAGTTTTGGGTTCCAAGCACAAGAGTACACCCCTAAGCTCTGTACAAAATCAACATTCATGTTTCAATATCCCATCTGGAAAAGTCAGGAACCACCTATCAGTTTGGCAACTGAGTGAATGCAAGAAACTCTTCATATCTGCTACGAATTCAGCAATATCAGCGGCAAACATTTCTGCAAATCAACCTTCAGTAATTTTGTAGTGCCCAGCACTTACTACACAGACACTGTCACCTTCAGAGGGCCTTCATTTCACTATTACCACATAACAGGTACCAAAAAAATACTTAAAATCCATACCAGTCAGTGGCAGCTATGATTTATCAGAAAAATGCCTGCCTTGTTTTTTACTCCACAGTGTTCTGTTTGGAAAATGTCCTCTTAAAAACTCTTCCATTATAAGTTAACAACTACAGCATAGTGGAACTATCATCTGTAATACCAAGTATAGCAGATTTGTTTTGAAAACAACACTCAGATATCTGAGCAAAATGATTATAAATGGTAGAAAAATATGACAGACTAATGTTTCTGGAAAAAACCCCAACCAACCAAGCCATGCTGCACTAAGAACTTTCTCCCCCATGAAAACATACAAAAGCTACAGTAAGATAGTCAAAGATATCAGACTTGTCAACCTGGGAAAAACATAATCTTAAATATGAAACACGGTCCTTATTTCTGTTTTGGGTATAGCCACCAGGAACAACTATTTTCAGTATTTGGAAAGGCAAAAATTATCTCACCAATCACTTTAATAAAAATTATTACAACCTATTAAAATCAAGGAGATTTACGCTTTCACAATTTCAAGATTTAGTTTTTTCCACCAGGATTTGGAAAATGAAAAACTTCAAGCACTGCTTCCATCACCAGCATCTTCCCTCAGCTGTCTGTTTCTTAAGTGACTATAAACATGAGTAGCATCATGTAGTGTCTCGTTACTTTCAACAGTATGAAGAGACTAAGAATTGGAGTTAAATCTTAATATTTTGACGAAAATAATTTTCACAAGACATGTAACAAAATACCCAGCTTATTTTGGAAGCAAGTCTCTTCACAACAGCTTTGTCTTTTACATTTAGAATTCTTCTGTCTGGTAAGATGCAAGTATAATGGAAGTCTAACATCTACAGTTATGCAAGTACACAACCCCCCCACATACATCACTAGTAAATAATCAGACTGCATACAAGATTATTTGTAAAAGTAATAAAACCCTTTGATGCTCCATATTTATGCTGGCAAATAGCTCTCCTGATATAAAAGGCACTTTGAAAACCCAATATGGTTTGGTTCATTAAGTTTGCAAAGTACAAACAATTGTACAAACATACAATTATATTGAAGCATGTCAGCCATTGTGACGTCATCTACAAAACAAGTTTCCAATTGTCGATAACACTGGTTTTATGGGAATGAGCAGTGGTTTCAGCAGCTTTACTGAAGACATGACAGGGTTTCCAGTACCGCAATCTTATTAAGTAAAAACCCCTCAAAAACTTACAAGTTTGGGGGCCCCAAAAAAACCAAGACCCAAAGTCCATAACATTCATTCAATATTTACTCCTTAGAAGTGAACTCCACCCATAGCCCAAGGGCAGAAATCTCTTCAGTCGATTCCAGAACAGTGGTGGAGGCAGGCTCTGTCTCGAGAAGTAGGTTGTTGTACCAGTACAGTACTGAAAACTTTGGTCCAACAGCACAATTCCAGAAATTCACTACATGGCTGCAACATCAATCTGTATGTAAAGCTGTCTTACTCCTGCCTATGGAGAAGGGAAGGAGAGTTAAAAACCCAGTAAAGCCAAAGCAATTTACCTGTCCTGAACATCAGTTCACAGCAGTAAGTTACCTAGCAAAAAACCTCAATGTCTTATTTATCTGTAATTCATCTCCCACATTTAGCACATCGATCACTGAGAGCACAGTGTGAATACAGAGTTCTTCACACAGTCAAGTAATGATATATTAGCATTAGCTTTGCTACATTACCTTCTCTGATTCATCCTAAATCACTGCCATCCGTGAAGCTGCACAAAAGCAATTCTTACTTTCTTTTGTACAAGTTTAACTTCCTGAAAAGTAAGTTGCTTGAAGAGCTGGCGGTTTAAAATGAAGCTAAGTACAAGAGCGTAACACAGGATTTTGTTGTTCAAACCAGTTCTACATTATGATTTTGGCAAGAAAGTCATCACATGTGCAAGCAGCCAATGCAGTGAAAAGCTTGAATAGGTCCAGTCTGTGGATGGAAACCCTGTCCCAAGGGAAGCCTCAGCTATTTTCTTGGTTCCTCATAGGTCAATATAAGTCAACCCAATTTGATACACCTGAGGTGTTACTTCCATTAAGTGGCATCAAAAGCGAATGCAGAGAGGCACAGTAATTCCATCTACGCAACTGAGTATTCTGAAATTGTTCTATACAGCTGGAGCAGAAAAGCTTTCCAAAACACAGATTCCAAACCCAGAAACATTTAATTTTGCTTGATAAGAATTACAGTGTCACATCACGTGACAGGCAATTTATGTTTTGAGATGTGATTTCCACTGATAAGACATACCTGAGTAAAAATATTGTGAGTCTGGCTTAGAATCCACCTTCCATCAGCATCAGGAGCTACTAATAATTTCAAAGTCCCTATGTAAACATCAGTACAGAGGGTCCAGAAATGTGGATCATGTAAACTGTAAACTCCTTGCAACTGCTGCACCTAAAAATACAGGCAAATTTCAGAAAATGTATTTCAGAAAATGTTTGTCTATACTATGTTTTTTACAGAAAATATTATAAAAACCAATGCATTCTTTTCCTTCTAGTTCACTGTGCAAATTGTGATCTTTTAGCAAAATTTCTCATTACTATCTCGGTTATCCTAAGGAAGGTGATCAGATTTGTGTATATGCCATGATTTTGTACCCTGCATTTACATTCTATGGGTATTTTACGGAAACCATTTCTGAAAATAGAGGTGTCCAAAAGAAAAAAGTCAGTTACTGAATTCGAGAGGGCATTAAAGTAAAACTGCAATTTTTGCAGAAGTGGGAATTCTGCCGTGAAAAAATTTGTGAGATTCTAACTTCAATGAAAACATATTCATATATAATTTATATTAATACATTAACGTTTCTGTAATGTTTGTCCTGCCAACCCCCTTCTTTTTCCTCTGTCCAATTGTAGCAAACCCTCCAAGTGACCAATTACAATCTGTAACTCCCCCAGGGCAGACAGCATTCCTACAAGTGCTTCCTATTAACTTTGCAAAGACACTTCAGTGTTCAGGTCATGACACTGTAATAGATTAGTTAAACAGGAGAACAGGTCAAATCCAGAGTAACCTATGTATACTCAAATACACTTCCAATGTTACTCCACCTCACATTACTAAGAACTAGATTTTGTGGGAGACAAAAACTGAACAAAACAGAAAAACATTTTGCACTTTGTACAAGCACAGAAGACTTTGGGAGGAAAAGCTTCAGGATCTATTTTTCTTCACTAACATAGCAGATTTTTAAAACACGAACTAAGGAGAAGCTACATACAATTTGGGACTTCAGGAAAATATTAATTAAACTAATACTTCCATTTGTATATTCTAAAGAACCTTTACAGGCATTACTGAAAAAACATCATAAAATATCCTCATACACACAGCTGAGGCTCAATAAGCCAGCAGCTTGATGAGCAAAAATGGCTTAAGAGCTCACCCTCTGGTAGCACTGAGGCAGGGCATTTTCCAAGGAAGGAGGAGTTCGCTGCATCAAAATCCCAATGGATTCTTTTAAAAGTGGAACAATACTAGAAAGAAAAAAGGAAATTAGCTATTATTACATTTTCAAAAGATGCAACATAAGGTTCTTTAACACTCATGAGAAATTCTTCTTTAGTTGTTCCACCAGAAGCTGAGAGTGTTGCCATGAAAACCTAGTACAGAAAATAGAAGGATTTACAAAATTGCTGTGGTGTCTTACCAAAGGCAAGATTACTTCTCCCTCACATTTTCCACAGAACTACCCAGTGGCTGATCACAAAAGACTAATAGTTTAATCATGGGATTTGAGATGAGATGTCTTAGTATCTTAAAAGTTATACAACAAAGCAGTATAGCTCAAAACCTACTTCGATGGCAAATCATTCACAAGTAATCATAACAATATTCAACTGCAGTGGGGTTTGCCTTTGTGTTTGGCTTAAGGCATATTTTTCTTATGAACTAAGATAATAATGGAGCAATCATAAAATGAAATCAGTGTGGAGCAGTCCAGCTATAACAAAGTTATTTTGTCAGAAACAGACAACTTTGCATATTCTTGCAGTGAACTAAGTGTAGGGTCTCATCCAAACTCAGGGGTTAAACATTTGGAAGCAATTAGAGGTTCCCTCTTGGCCTTGTTTAATCAGATAACTAAGTAGACATTTAATACCCTTTTTTATTGTTATTACTTTTTTTTTTTTAATAAAACCAAGAGACCAGTAAGCCCATACCCTGAAGCTACCACTAAAAAGTTATACTCTTATTAAGTATTCAGCATGGTACCTTTTTTGTTTAGGAACAGTGCACCATGCCTGGTTCAGTACAGCATTCTAATATTTTCAAGAGGATAACAAATATCTATAACCCAACACCAAAGCTTAAATAGCAATTTAATTTCAAGAGCATACAAGTCACCGAACACTCTGGACCAAACGTGACTATATATTTCAGAAATGGTAAGCTGAATTTCAGAGTTCAGCACTGGCATCACAGCTGCAGTACACAGAGTAATAGGATTGCAAGCACACCCAAAACATTTGTAAGAGATTAACCAGGCTAGTTCTTAGAGAAAACCACAGAAACTTTGTTTAAAATCTCACGAAGTGATGTGGAATGCATGGCACAGACCAGCTGTGTATTTGCAGATGGTGGACAATGTGACCTAACCAGTTTTAAACAGGTGGTTCCATTAGTCCATGGAAGCAGTGCTGGCTGACTGACTGCTCAGCTCACCCCTTGGCTAAACCTTAGCCAGGGGCGGGAGGGACTTAGAGGGCGTGTGACTCCTGTCTAATGAACCTCTGGAAAAACCATCACCCTAAAATTAAGTCTTCTTGCAGGCACAGTGGTGGTTCCAGCCAAAGTCACTGCCTAGTGCACTCCATCACATGGCCTCACACAGTTGTGCTGCTACCAAGGCATCAGTTCAGAAATAGGAAGAAGCAATTAGGTACACGCAGGAGTTGCCTAAACTGGACCTGTCACCAAGACAAACATTTAGCAGTGCAATAACTGTCAATCTGTCTAAAGGAAGCTTAATTGGAGTGTCACATTCTAGAGTGGATTACAGAAGTTTAGGGAAAAAAAGGTTCTCTTATTAATGGACCCATCTCACTAAATAATGTCCATGTCACAAGCATTACATCAAGGGGAGCTGGAGCTGCCAAAACACTCCACTGATGAATTGATTTCAGTTTAACTCACTATTTAAAATGCAGGTTTACTTCTTAATAAAAACCTTGAAAGACCAATACACAACTTCAGGATCCAAACTGAATGCAGGAATTTTGAACACTGCCTCCATCTCCATAAATTTAACAAGGTCCCTGTAACATATGCACCCAAAGGCTTCAAAAACCACACACATACAGGCTGCATATTTTTCCCCAGGGAAACAACTAAAGGAATGGAGAATATAATAGCCTGCCTTTTTGTTGAAACATACCACTATGAGTGAAAAAAGCCAGGAAAGAAATCTAACAAAATATGTCTACTTTGCACAACTTATTTACATTATTTGGTAAATCTGATGTACGCTGTCTGATGGAAGGGAAATTAACTGTCAGTACATTTGGAGAGACAGGCTATGAAACAAAATCATCTTAAAAGTCCAAAGAATAGAGGTAAATCAGGATGTGGCTTGATACTGTTGGTGAAGTTGAAGCATATCCTGGGTCACACCCTCCTCCTCTGTCTTAGTGTTCAGATACAAATGTCATCTTTTGAAAAGCTGAAAAGGCCAAAGGACAGCTGCAGGGATGTGACAGGCCCTCACAAATGCTGTTAAGAGCACAGGCGGCCATGGATACCCCTCTGCATCCAACGGGATACCATCTCACAAGGCAGTCTTACTGTAAGCCAAACTAACACTACAAACAACAGAATCCAGTTTGATGATGTCTGATGTTTTCCATTGTTTCAGGCACACTACTTAAGTACAAAACCTTTAATTTAAAAACCAAAACTCCACACACTATGTTCTTTTCTCAAACATTAACTAAACACAGTAATATTTAATCACAAGGAGGCACTAGAAATATCAGTTCCATCTCATGTGACTGAAGAAAACATTACGAAAGATGACAAAACCAAGTAGGTTGAGAATTTGACAAAGCTTTCCTTTTCTTTTTTTTTTTGGATTAATCATTAGTGAAAAAAATACATGGCTGTCTCTGCAGCAACTATTGCACTGGTACTTCCCCTCTTGTTTGTTTTAAATGATAAGATCATCGAGGAAAATAAATAATGCTGAATGCTCATCAAGTGGAAAACTTTGTCACGAACAAGGGGTCTTTAAACTTTGCTGCTAAAGCAGACTCAATTTTCCATTGGTCTCTTGATTACCAAGCCTTAAGTCTAAAATACCACACTCTTTTACAAGACAATGGAATTTGAAAGAGGTGCTAACCCACAGCTAGACTTGGGATAAAAACATATCCTCTGAAAAAGCTAGAACTGCAAAAGCAGCTAATGTTACAGCACATCACAGTTGCACATAACAGTTACAGAAGAAGTGAAAGGTGTTCAAACAGATAAAAGCTATTTATATGAATCTGATAAATCCAGCCTGCCAGTGACACAAGGCTTGATTAAAAATGAAGAGTGAAAGCATCAAACTCTTAATTAACCTGCATCACATTCAGATAATATTCATATCCATTCCAGTCCCATCCTGTTTATGCCACTGTTTTTGTAGGCATAGCTAGCAAGACCCTGGTATTGTTATAACCTCAGACTGCAGGGCTGAAAACAACACTGGGTAAAGAACCCTTTTCACAGTCATTGCACTCAGAGCGCAGCAGGAAATTCATTCAGTGCTCTCAGCACTACAGAAAAGAGAGGATATTTGTGATAGATTTTGTGGAAGGTAAACAAACATTGCTAAGGATCAAGACCAGCTATGGTTCTTCAAACACCATAGCTGAAAATCTACAGCCAGATTTCCAAATTCTTTGTTTTTCCCCGACCACCATCCATATCTGCAGTGCCAAGGCTGTCGGCCTATTTGAGAACTTTAATAAAATTTTTCTACTAGGCAATGGCAATTTTAATCAGACTGCAAGCTTTGCTCAAGACAAGGATGACAGGTTTAAAATTTACTTTACTGATTTTGAATTGCTTGTTCTCATAACAACATAGTACCTTTACTCTCAAGCAAGGTTGGCAGGTACTATTACCCTGTAAATAAAAGCAGTGCACGACATTTAGCAAAAATGGCTTAAAACAATACCAATGACAAACATGCTAGTTTGGAGGAGTTTTCCTATAAAACATTGCTTCTGAATCTTAGAGAATGCAGCACTTCATTTACAAAAGTAATTTTTTCATATTGTTTTGCCTCAAACATTAAAGGCATATATCCCAAACAGTACAGGCACACCCTCCCCCAAAGCTCTTTCATATTATATCATGTTCAAGAAGCTTTAGATTTTATGCAAAAAAATTACGTAACCCATGGAAACAACTTCACTAAATGTAAATTGCCTCATTTCTTTGACCACTTAATATGTAGTCTGCATACCCTATGCAATCTAGTATGAGATTTAGTCTACTGTGCCTTTCTAGAAACATGTGGGTCTAATAGTGGTTTCAGACAAACTTGATTTATACTAGTGTTGTGGCTTTTGTGTGGTGTCTAATTTCACATAGTTGACTGAAATACTAAAATTGCTTCAACATTCTGAATAAGGCTTAGAATGCTAAGGCTAAAAACTAAATGAATATTTAGTTTTAAATATTAAAAGCAGTTTAGAGACTTGAGAAATTGTATATTGATTCAGGCACATACAATTATGAGGACAACACCTTGGAAAAAACTTCAAGTGTCAACCTGAACAAGTATGAAATAGCCAAGCTTTTGTTAAAAAAAGCAACCTTAAAAATGTTAGTAAGACAGACTTGTCTATTTTAAGCTTGTCCTATTTATAATTAAATGGACACTTGCATGAGATAGTACCAAAAGCAATTAAAGAAGGGTTCATTAGATACTAGTGGTTGCATCCAGGCAAACTCAAATCCCACAGCAGATTTTCACTATGCAGTCAGAATGTTCTGTGCTAACTCAGGAGGTGTTAGGCAGAGAATATGTCACCCTAGAGCAGCCTTAGTGAAGGATCACAGGAGCAACACAGAGACACCGTGTCAGCAGCTGACAATTTGCACTAATTAGAGATGTTGTCTATAGCAAGGTTCAATCATTTGATTTAAAAGCACTGCTTGACTTCTCTGAGGAAGCGTTGCTCAACCCTTCTGCCTCTGCACAAGACAAAGCAGGTTACAAAGTAGAGTCTGGACAGCTTTATACTGCAGCAGTAAGCTTTTTAGTCACCTTATACAGGTATTTGTGTGATTTCTTTTGGCAAGTGTGACCATAATTTTAGAAACCTGAACAGAAAACACCCACTAACAGAAGCAGGCAAGACTCAAGTAAATCTGAGAGAACTGCCCCAACCTTGAAGCAAAGCAAACACTCAGTAAAAGAATGAATGAACAGTTATCTCACATAGACACAAGCAACTGAAATAGAAAATGAAATAAAATTTAGCTATTTAGCGATGTAAGTGTGACTTTGCAAAATGTAAAACTACTTAAAGGTTTCTGCCCAAACTGTGGGCAATTGAGATAAAATAGCTTAGAGAATAGGGAAGGTTTTTTAGCACGTAGAGAGGGGTGGGGAACCTGAAACTGCTTGAAATGATAAAACTTTAGGTAACTACTCTATAATGGTAAGAATAGGAGGTAAAACTAAATGTCTATTTAGATAAGGCAGACTGCAAAAGAGTGTGTGTAAAGATAATTTTAAACCTGCTACTTTCAAACTGTATAAAAAGCTATGGTATTTCTTGGCTCAGTGGAGTGCACTGGGGAGAACACCTGCCCCTTTCGCGTTCCCCGGCCGTAATAAAAGTGCTTTTCAGATTGGCAGAGGTTTCTTTGAATCACAACACTGGATTAAGAGCAATGACTTCCCTCTGCACTCTCCTGCAACTGCTTTCTCAAAAAGTTCCACAAAACGGAATAAGGATTTGTGTTCTGGCTTTATTCCTTCTTTCGATATATAAGTATCATAGAAAGAATACAGATTAAAAGAAAAAAAAAACAACACAAACTCCCCAAAAACTAACAACAACCACAAAAAACAAACAAACAAACAAACAAAACACCAGGGAAAAAAGAGCCCAGGATCAAATCTACCCCCTACTCATGCCCTGCAGACTCTAGGTGAAAATCAGACCATTAAGCAATAACTTGGGAGGATACAGTTCCAACTAGGGTGAAGTCCCTAAACGCCATTAAAACTTTTGGACAACCTTATCAGACTGGCTTTTGCATCTCTGACTCAAAACTGTGCTTGCTTTATTAGAGTCACAAAGATCCTGATTATGGAACAGATCCTGATTTTTAAACACACATGTGTGAGGTCCACTTGTTGTGGTGCACACACACACTCTCACCCCACTTCACCTTATCAAAGTTGGTTTAACTAGTAAAAGGGACACGGAAAAAATGGACAGATATTCCTTTGAAACAGCAGACAATTATTTAATCTATGTACACTAATCTAAGTGTATGGAAACCTGTGTTTTACTCAGCTACTACCTTTACCTCAGCAGTAGTTTCTTCCCTCTTGGTAACCTGCACATTTCCTTTCCCATATTTTGAGATTTCAGTAATAGAAGTAGCTTGTAATAATTTGTCCTTTATGAAATTACAAGATGTTTAAGTTAAAATATTAAGAGTGTATATTAAAATGATAATAGTGATCTCTAGCAGAGAGATTTCTGTGGGCGTTGTGTCTGAAGCACGCTGCCCTACTTTGATAAATGGGGAGATTCACATCAATAATCCTGTGAATGCTGCCATGCATATGCTGTAAACATGCCATACATGGTATAAGTAGCTGCAGTTCAGATGACATTCACAATGCTGAAGAGACAAAGGTGTTCAGTTATTAGGTTGTAACTGGAGTTGAGGCACGCTGCCCTGCGCCACCATTGAAACTACTGCCAGAAAACCTCAATAACAGCGTCACTCAATGAAATATTTGCTTGTCCAGTCTAATCCAAATAGCTTCACATTTACAGTGATCTTGGTAAGCACCAACTGGAAAAGTCTAGAGCTACTTGAAGCATTTCCATCAGGTCTTAAAAGGAATAAGGATGTCTCAGAGTACAAAAACAAAGGAAAAGACAGTTTTCACCAGAGAAAGAAAAAAAAATTTAAAACCTACCAGCTTTGATTTGTCAAGGACAAGGGCACATTCTGTGCCAGCAGGCTCAACTCTGCTGCCCTGAAGCCATTCTGCTCCATTTACTGGAGTACATTGGTTTATATAAGCACGTACTAAATACAGAGAGGAAGCTTTCTACAGTTTGAACCTGAAAGACGTTTTTGTAGTATTATGCAAATGGCCAAAATATGCAGATCTAAGAGCAAAAGTTGTGGCTGTAGAAAAGGGAAAGAAAATAGCTCATACAAGAGCTCATCAAAACAGCTGTACAGAAGAGAGATAACATACCCCTCTCGGAAGAAAAGCAAACATTGTAAGTCATCAGCATAACAGACAAACCTTTTCTTCTGAGCTATAATTTCTGCTGTAACTAGCATCAGAAGTACTACCAAATATCAGGGATAGCAACACTTACCTTACACCTATAAGTAGTGCTATCAGCATTGAACAAATAGGATCTGCTATCATTAGACCATAGTTCTGCATCAATATAGCAGATATGATCACACCAATACTTCCGAGCGTGTCTGCCACAATGTGTAGAAATACACCTGTAAAAGATCAATTGATATCATTACAACTTGGCATTCTCAAAGACATGTATTTCAAAGAGTGTATTTCAAAGACATTTTACAGAGAAGAGTTGCAAGAACTAGATAACATGATTTATACCTGTTTAATTTGTGGTCAATTTTGGGTCAAGCACACAAAGTGATCACAAGATTTTAACATATTTTTAGACTATAGACCACTTACAGAATTTACATTCTTTTCTTCAGTTAGCAGTAAGGGGTATTTCATAGCATGGCTATCAACTTAAACAGTGATTAACAGATGCAGCTAGATTTTTTTCATTCACATTATAGTAAAGAAACTCACGTTCCCTGGTGCCTACAGACAGTAAGATGGACAGACTATTAACAGAAACAGCTCTGCAAAGCTTTGAAACATGCTACTGTTTCACTGACGACATCTTCCAGAAGTTATTTGGCAAAGAAATCCAAGACAAATAGTTTTGAGAATTAAACACTGCTGCAGACATGAAAAACTTCACTCTTCTTTTGAAGAACAACACTGCCTTAAAATACAAAGATGTACTTTGGAGCTAGCCAAAATTTAGCCTTTGGAGCTCTCTGCTGGCGATGATGGGAAGTCACTCAGAAACAGCTTTTTGAATACAAGTCTCCAGCCTCTTGTAAAAACAACACCCAACTACAAATCAGCTCTTAAGTGATTTTTCCAAGCCTACATTTGTACTGTGTCTGGCTGGGACAGAGCCAGGTTTTCTCCACAGCAGCCTGCATGATGCTGTGGTTTAGACAGAATCAAGGCCTTTCATTTCTCACTGCCCCCAGAGCAAGTAGGCTGATGGGCACAAGATGCTGGGAGGGCACATAGCCAGGACAGGTGACCCAAACAGACCAGGGGGATACTCCATACCATCTCACACCATGCTCAGCAATAAAACTTAGGTGCTATCTTTTCAAAATAGCTGCTCACAGACTTCCCCGGACATTGATCTGCTGGTGATTGTCTGTGTGAATGATTGTCTGGTAAGTGATTGTCTTTGCATCACAAATTACCACCTTCTTTAAACCAACTCTAACAGCTTGATGAAAGATAAGTTTTAAGCTTAGATACTCTTTAACAATTATATCTATCTGCATTTTTCAAATACATTCTATCTTAATCATACTGTTCTTCATCTTCCAGAACATACATTGCAATTAGGGTCCTTAAGTTTCTGCTTTTAACCACTCTTTCCTAGTTTTTCATTATTTGATTTTTCAGCACCAGTAACAGAAGCTGAATTCCAGATTTTGGGATCTCTCTTTTAAACTATGTTGACACTGCATTACATTTACACTTCAGTGAATTACACATGCACAGGGTACAGCACTGCTCTGTTTACAGGGTGAATGGGATTTCATAGAATAGCTCCTCTATGAAAAATGTGGCATTTATCCAGAGGAACCCTCTAAAACAAATGAATGACAGGCAGGCCTTGATAAAACCAATAAACTATTATACTTATTATCATCATACCTTGTAAAATCTGTTTGCTGGATCCAGCCACTGCTTCAAGAGAATGGTCATCTGTGAAGACAATTATTGATACATTAACCTAGATAAAGGCTCTCTCTAGTGGTACATTCTGTTATGGTCTTCCTTTTGGAAATTTTTAATTGCACAACAACAAGGATAAGACTTGGAGAAGGTAGAACTAAGCAAAAAATCCTCTCATCCAAGCAGATTAATGCCTCTGTGGAACACACTAGAAAGATATGTTAAGAAAAACTTGTTAAAGGATAGCAAATGACTTCTAGTGAGGATACACAATATATTACACAAAAGTTGATTTGAATATCAAATTGCACAACACAGCTACATTCACTGTTCCACTGGGGTGGGCAGTGTGGGGAAAGCAAGGAAGAAGCAGAAGTGGGGAGCTCCTACTTTCCAACCAAATTCCAGGAGAACTCCTGGAAAACAAGCACCACTTTTCCGCTAAGAATAGCAAGGAAGAGACAAGTAAGTATTTTTACACTGTCACCTCCTGTCTGCAAGTTGCAACACTATTCCCTGCTCTGAATGTGCACATTTTTAGTCACATCAGATCCTAGTTTATGGCTTAGGCAGGAAGGACTGACAACCCTGCAACACCACAAGGCTTTCATCTGCACTGTTTCAATAGGTTGCCTCTTCTCCCATAGTGAAGGCTACTGATCATTTTTTGCGTGAACATCTCAGATTGTTTGCCTTTATAGAAAAGATTTAAACATAGCTAAGGTAACAAGCACCTTTTTCACAACCACCTTTTTAAAACAGATTACAACTACACAAGATAGGGAAAATCTTATTTGAAATCACAAACCAAGTACAACTAACAATCCATAAGTACTCAAAGTTTGTGTGTTCATATTTTCTAATATCTTGAGCTGTAAGATTATTCAAATGGAGAACACTAGCAAAGCAGCTTAACTTTGCCTGTTGATTTAAATGAGAAATTTGAAGCTGAGCACTTGATAATTTCATTATACTGCCATCGCATCCAGCTGTTCCACCCTCTGCCAACACATAACATTAAGGTGAACATTCAAAAACCACAGGTAAATCACAGCCTTTAAAAACTAACACTGAACTTACCTGCAAGTGACACACAAAATGAGCCACAACACATGGCAGCGGCAGAGCATACTAGACATTTAATGAAACTACTTCCATGTACGATCACAACAAGCTGCCAGCACCTTCTCTTTTTTTTTCTCCAGTAAATCATTAGTAGCACATTTAGATTGAGTCAAGATGGTCTAGGACATTAACTAAGTACTCACCATGACAATAATCCTGACCATGAGAGTGCCCATGGCCGTGACCATGACTGTGTCCATGTGCATGTTTCTGTTCATGGCTGTGCCCATGACCTCCGTGGCTGTGCCCATGGCCGAGACCACCATTAAACAGAGAATGACTGTGCTCATGCCCTGTAAACAAATACCACCATCAGAGTATGAACTTAAATAATGAATTAAAGTATGCTTACATTTGTTTCTAAGCCACTCAAAACCTATTTGCCTTTTAGGTCATCTTAAGGTACAGCTTTAAAAAACTTAGGAAACTAAACAAAACTGTTTGTCATCTACAGCTCTGCTGTGCAGCTATATTATACATATGTATATAAATTATATATACATAAACAGACACACTAAAATATATAACTGATTTGAGAAGTCAAGTGCTTTTATGCATTCCCACTTCTGAGAAGCTGTGCTACACTTTTAGTACAATTTGAAAAATGTTCACATAATTAGATACAATCACATTAAAAACAGCTGTTTTAAGAAACCAGAAATAGGCTATTGTTCACACATTCAAAATTCAGGCTTAGATTGCTGCTTAAAGACAAAAGACTATTTTCTTCCACTAGACTATGTAAGTTTATATGTTAAGCTGAATGAGGCACCAATAGGCTTTGCAGAAAAAAACCCAAGTGTTCACCACATATATTTAGGCAAATAAATTCTGCATTTAAATTCAAAGACACCTGAGTTGAGAAGCACCTGAAGCTGAATCATCCCATGCTTAAAATTTGGTTCAGACAATGTCTTCTAAGTTTTTCAGCCACAACCTTGCTTAAGTCCAGCTTAATTTTTTCCAAAAGACACTCTGCAAATCTCTTTCAACAAGGTGCAGAAGAGTGCCTGTTCAGCACAGTGCCTGTTCCAGAAAGCAGATTCTAGAGTTCTAAGTGTTCCAGTTAATGGATATTAACATGAGAAGTACAACGGTGACTAGGGCTAGTGACAAAACACAGAAGTCAGAAGTCAAATATACGTTTGGCTAGGATTGCTGCTAAAAAGACATTAAAATTTAATACTGGGGTTCTCATTGGAGGATTATAAAGTCCTGGAACACAGGGTGCCAAGAAAGGAAACAGTACTGGAAGTTACAGACATCCTACCAGCTCCGTGTGAATGCCCGTGACCTCCATGCTGAAAAACAAATATTCCTATAAGATTTACAATGAATCCTAGTATAGAAACAGGAAGAAGTCTCTCATGATGTACATCAGGAGGCTCAAGTGCTCTCTAAACAAAAAAACAAAAACAAAACAAAGTACAAATGTAGAGTTTTACATTATTAAAAGATGCTGAAAAAACTACTTAGATACAGGAGCATTCTCATACAAACATATGTACAGACATAATTAAAAATTACTCAGGACTACCAGTTTTCGGTATGATAGACTAATTCTTATTGTCTGAAGCTGAAATTTTATTATTAAAGCTCTGACAGTACAGTAGAATATTCTGATAGTCGAGCTAACTGTTATCATAAGATTTCATTTTGCTGTGGGATGTGACTCAACACCACATGAAAACATTCAAGTCTGTTGTCATATGTGGATTGCCCAAGTCACCTAAACAACTTCCACTATTTCTTCCTTTCTTCTGAGAAGAGTGAGGCAATGAGGGAAATGAAATGAAGACTGAGAACAAACTGTGACATTTTTTAGAACTTCTAAAATCTATATTGATTTTTGGTTTTTAAATTCTTTTTTACCTACTTTGTTTGGAATTTTTTTGTCAATGAGACATTATAGACCTAATACAATTTGCATCTCAAGTGTTGACAAGCGTAAATTACTGTTGACAGAGGAGATAAACATTCACCATCTCTCCACAAAAATGAAAGGTATAGGCAATAGCAAGACAATGAAACTTCCAGCAGATGTAAAACTTTAAAGCAACAACAAGAAAAGAAGTCACCATCACAAGGAAAGGGAATACTTCCCATAGGGGCTAAGACCAGAAGAGAATTACGTTTCAAAATACCCTTGACCAGTCAGCTTTTAATTTTTCTAATAAGTTTTTTTCCTGTTTCTAGATTTGAAGTTTTTCCAAGCTTATAGGCATTTCAGCCCAGCTTGTACCAATTCTAAGGTATTGATAGGCTTATCAATGCAAAAGATCTGCTCCTGAAAGCTCTTCCCAGTTCTTTATTAAAAAAAGAAAAATTCACTAGAACGTCTTATGAAGTAGAAGTCTAAACAAATGTATAAGTTATCTCCCATTAAAAAGTAGAAGCATTAATGCAAGCTGATCTGAAATAGTTATCAGTTTTACTCTTAATCCTGGATGTTGCCCTTAATGTCTAAATTTCAATCTTGAAATTATCACCTGAATCATCATGTAAAAAAAAAATTGAGAAAAAAACCCTTCTAGATCTCTAAGTTATCACTACTTGCCATTTATATCAGACTTCAGGATTTGGAGGATAGTGCTCTATCTTTAACAAGTTAGTCCAACTTCTTCACAGAACGTGACGTATGACTAACCCCTCTGAGTGGCTACTTTGGGCCTTTCCTTCTTGGCCTCACTTGTCCTTCAACAATGAAAAGTGAAGATCTTTCTAGGACACATTTAACTGGCTGAAAAAAAGGACAGACTACATCTCACAGAATCTTTACACGTAAACAAAATATACCATTTAAGAAGCCAGTACAGATATACTGAAAAGGCTGGGTTTCTGTGTCACAAAACAGCAATTTCAGATGGCCCTATTCTCTGTTCAAATCACCGATTTTTAATAAATTATGAACCTAATCAATTTATTTAACTCAATAATTTCACCCCTATTAGTAACAGAAATGTGACAATTGTCAGCGTAATTTACTTCATAACATACCTCAACGCCTTCAGAAAAAATGAAGAACGCTGTAAAGATGAGGAATAAACCATTTACAAAACCAGCAAGTACTTCTGCTCGAACATACCTGCAAGAAACAGAAAAAGCAATAGCAGATATTACCACATTCATTTAAATGCTGAAATTTAGAAGTGGAACTTAAAAGATTGGAGTGCAATCTTCTAGTTCTCAAACAGTTGTATTACAGAGGAATTTGCTAAATGGAAGATGCAGCATATAAACTAAGTGCATGAAATGGATTAAGTTGTATTTTGACAAACACTACCTGATCCACATCAGCTATTACCTGCTCTACATGAAAAAAAATCTTTCAATATGTCAAAATCTTTCCATTTAAGATCATCTCTACTGGAAGTTGTGGTATAAAGATATATTTGGGGAAGCCACAAACTAAGATAAGCATGCAAGATGTAGTCGAAGTCTTCTGACGTAAAGTTTCGTATAATATCAAACTGACATACATTAATTTGCTTCCCATCTATAAGGGGGACTACCAGTGAAAGTTTTAAGTAGAAATTAATTATTTCAAACATCAAATTTTGACAATAAAAAACTGCCAGGTTAGAATAACGTGTAATTTCCATGTAGCAAACATCAAACAATAAATTGTGGCTGTTCTCTAATAAATGGAACACCAGCTGTTTAAATGAAGAGCAGTAATTAATACAGAACCTGCTTTCATTGCAATTGAGTTCATGGTACGATTCTTCATAAACTGATTTTTGGGCACACTGGAGTTTCCACCTTAATTAAACTGTGCTTTAAGTTTCAAACTACAGAATTCACACTTAAGCAAGACAGCTGAAGCTAAATGATGACACTCGGGTCAGTAATGTTATGGGGAGTGCAGCAGCCCATGTTACACCTCATTTGCTGTTAATCAGTATTACCAATTAATAATATCGTACCACCAGTATTGTTTTATAGGGCAGAACTGCAATGTTCAGTGAAACCAAGTGACCCTCAAACAGAACCAGCTGCAGCAAGTATATCCAAGGGCGGGATGGGATGACACCTCAGCCTTGAGGATCCGGACTAATGGCAGCCACAAATGGCAGATGTCAAATCCTACTGATTCCAAGAATCATAGCTTATAATCTCAGTGCAGCATCTCTGTGACTTAGCTCCTTTCAGCTGTAACTTTCTGTTCCAAAGAAGGCATGGGACAGCAGCAGCCAAAGCCCCTGTAACACTCCTCATGCACTCCGAGGACAAACCCAGGATGCAGCTCTCGCTCTTCACTGGTGCCATTAATACACGACAGGGCAGGGCACCTTTCTCCTGTATAACTTGTTTCCATTAGTATGATCACAGAGATCTTGGAAGGGATAAAACTTCTCCCCAAAAGCAATGCCTTCATATTTTTACTATTTCTAGGGCGATATTAACTTAAAGGTTTACATAACTCACCTTAAAAACCCCCACACTTTCAACATAGCTTTTCCATGTTCTGCAAAAAGAGGTTTTGTTTATAGAATGAAAAATGACTGCCTAAACAGTTATTACAGTACATCAAGGTAACAGCCTGAAGTTTCTTACCCATATGAGAAAGCATCATTTGACCTCCATTTTGAAATAACTGAAGCTGCTAATCCAGCCAATAGAGCAGTACAGTCAAAAAACATATGGAAAGAATCTGATATTAGACCTAAACTGAAAGAGAACAAGAAAAAAATGTTATGTTCCACATGTTGAACATGAAAAAAAATCTACAGCCAATTATCTTTTACACACTAGCAGAATACACTGTGTTTCTAAGCTTCAGGCATGGTTTTGCTAGCACAGAGAAATCCACAGTTCATCACCAACACAAATATAACGCCAACACTGATTTTGTCAGCTTAGGAAAGGCACTTTGGAAGAGCGCTTGGCAAAAAAAATCCTCCTAGCATATGATTTTGGTGCTAGTGAAAGGTGGGTTCCCTCGACACAAACCAAAACCTCTGGAGTAGATCTACCCACAGGCACACCTCTTGATAACATAATTCAACCTTAAATCTTTGCCTTAGCAGCTGCAAGGCATTGACTAGAAGATCCACACTCCTCTTAGATCTAGAAGCTGAATGAAGCAGAAGTTGAAAGATCATATCTTAAAGGATTTATTTCAAAGACCAATGCACAACTACAATCTCGACTGACAAACACAGTTAAAGTGTAGGGTAAAACAGCATGCTAAAAAGTTCAAAGCAAGCTAAATTAGTCCATGAGTTTTTCGGTCAGTAGAACTCATATCAGTTTGTAAGCTATAGGTAAACTGGCTTTAACACTACACACAACAGCTGCCAAAGTTAACTAAATTACTCATAAACGGGTTCTGTAAGTCTGCAAGGAAGTATGTGCAACACATAATCTGCTTCATATTTGGAAAGACATTTGATACAGAGGTACTGATGAACATTTCTTACTGCAGTCATCCCAAAAGTTCCATTTTCCCAATCCTTTGGTTGTCTAAGAACAATTATGTACACAACTCAGTTTTAGGAAACTGGAGAACAAGAAGTGTTTACTGGTAGTAACAAGTTCTAGAAGACAGCCACATTTTCACACTGAAGTCAAACAAAAAGTTTCATTAGCCAGAGTTCCAACTACCTCACATTAAAAAAACTAAACCATCTGAGTCTGACTGAAAACAATTACAAAATTAATCTGAAGTGTTTCAGATGAAACACTCAACTGTGGAAGAAGCGGGTTTGGAAGAGAGGAGAGAGAACAAGTGCCTCAATCTATATATTTACATATATACTTTAGGGACACATACAGAGTTATATATACACACAACTGTAACACTTAAGGCAGAAAGATGATGGCATGATGAATTGTCCTTAGGTGCTATAGCCACCAAAGCAGGAAACAGATAAAACTGTTCTGAACAAACTTTAAAAGTTAAAACCAAATGTTTTAGCTGGATGCCTATGAAGTAGCAAAATGGAATTTGCTATGGAATTCTTGAAGGGTGTTGGTGACAGCTTCCCCCTGCCCCAAACCAGGTGACATCTCTAGGGAAACTCATCGCTTTAGATTTGGTTCCTCGATAAGGAAGATTCAGTGGGGGGGAAAAACCCATAAAACACACCAAACATTCAGGTAGAAGGTAAATAGGGTGACAGTAACTCTAAGTTGTAATGACTATGAAATGGGAGGAATAAGCATGGCTAAACAGAGATAGCTAGTGGTTTCCGAGGCCTCTTTTTGGTGTTTTGTTTTTTTTTTTTCCAATAGAGTCTCCTGGGAAAGAGAAGTATATAAAGGCTGTTACTGAAACAAAATCCCATACTAGCTCTAGAACCAGAAATCATACAGCAAGTTACCACGGCACTGTGCTCACACCTGCAAATCTCAGCAAGGCAAGACTCACAGTAGGTGCAACACCAGCACAGCCGTGCTGCTTTCAAGACCTAAGCTCACTGCCCCAGGTGACCAGAGGCATGGGGATTTATCAACAGGGAACAGCATAGCCTGTGTCTGCAGCACAGTTCACCACATGGCATAACCATGCTCTGGATCATGGGTACAGCTGTAAGTGATTTAGCTGCACAAGTGGCAGGAAGCCTGGTAAGAGGCCAATCTCATTTCATCTGAGGCTTTTTTTAAGTGACCTATAAATTAACAAGACTTTTTAAAAAAATGTGTGCAAAGTGATTACTAAAGTAAACAAGTGATTCAGTCAACCATTAGCAACGTGGGATGTATGGAAGAACTTTGTTTACAAATGGAGCACATCATCCAGAGTATAAACTACAGCATCTAAATGAGGACACTTCCATAGCTCATTTAATAACACAAGTTTAATACCAAATTACACAAGTGTGCATGTAACAGGATTTTAAAAATGAACAGCCCAAGTAGCAGATTTCAACTTTAAACAAGCTCTCAGCTAGCAAAATACCATATCCAGCTCTGTTTTCTGTGCTTCAAGATTGTCAGCATTCCAAATTATTTCTAGGATGATCATATAAATGACAAACCAGCTATGTGAGTTCAGGAAGCAACCTGCTTGACAAACAAAAGGTAATCTCTCATGTGGGGAACGACGGAGCTGTGCTCTGCAAAATGAAGAAATAATTTTCCCTATATGGCTCCTTGTTTGCTTGTTATGTGCTTGTTCTTCCACAGCATGAACTGCCTGCTTTGACTGAAGGCATTCCTCATCATAATCTCTGCCACCACTCTCTACTAAAGAGGTGCTTGCTAAGACAGTTTTGTTCTAGCCCAAAATCTAGGCTTAGAGATACCCAAAATGAGTGACTTGAAATATAAACAAAACTAATGCAAATCACAATTCTTAATCTCAATTATGAAAAAAAAAAGTAAGTCTTCTCAATTGCAATTGCCAAATTCCACAGTGACAAACTGCCAAGTGTCACTACTAGTTACCTCATATAAAGGACTTTTTTAGGTCCCACTACGAAAAAAATTATGCTTAAAAGACAGAACAAACTCACATGAACATAAACCTCTTTATACACAAACTATAGAGAAAAATATTTACATCTTCTGAGTTATTAGGAAAAAAACATCCATACTCAGACAGACTATGCACATAATAGCGCTCACACAACTGCAAAGTGAATCAACATCAAAGCCAAAACCAAACACATAGTCTATGTGCTACTAAGATATTCTGTACCCAAGATAACATTGTGTGCTTGCTAGTGATACACTGTAGCTTTGATTAATTACTGTAATCAAAGTTAAGGATTTTATAGTGTAGTTTGAGAGATTCAGAAAAACATGGTGTTAGGATGCAACTGTTTCCAAATCCACATTGCTGCATTCACTCAAGACTCTTAAAAAGAAGAGTCTTAGTAATTTGTGTCCATACTACAGCTTTTGGCAAGGACTACTTTAACTCCCATGTGGAAGGACACTGCTGGGCTTAATTGACATTTCCAAGCCAGTTCACTCTGAACTGAACTATAGACAAAAGAGAGTGAAATACCACCATAATACAACTTCTCTATCACGAATGAAGCATGATTGACACTAGCACCACTGTCTACCCATATACCATAGGTCAGTACAGAAGTTACTTTGCACTTTTGCTTGTATTTCACTGCAGATTTTTCAACAGCAATTTAGTCAAGTCTCTGCTTTTTTTCCCACCTTTGTGAATTTATGTGCTGTGTAAAGTACCACTTAATTATACCTGGATGTGCTAATTCCTTTTTTTGCCTCGGAAAGAGGAAGGAACCCAGGAATCAACCTACAAATTCCTCCCAAACAGAGGATGTCTGTGGCAAGCGGCAACACGAAACGGTTACAACCCTCGAGTCCTGTAACTCGGGCCAAGGCCAGGCTTCCTCCTCAGCCCACAGCCGAGTACGACAGCAGTTCCAAAGAGGATTCCTCCCGAAGGCGCCGAGTCGCGCCGCCCCCGCGCCGCCGGGCCCCGGCGGAGGGGCG